AACAAGCTAAGGTCTTTAGAAAACATATATAATATCGTTCCTCATAAACATACGATAAACAATTTCAATCCTTAGTCCTTTCTTTCTCAAACAAGTTTTACTTTATTACATGTAAAATAAACTAATTTTGTTTCAAAAAGAAAGAAGTAGAATTGAAAGTTTATTCTATATTATCCTTTCTCAAATGGGTTTCATCATTTTAATTTATATATAGGTCACAATTTTTCACTACCTTTTTGTTTATTTTTTTTTATTATTCTGGGTGCTTATTACATACTTTCATAATTGATACAAAATGTTATAATACTTTCAATAACATTTAATAGGATATTTTATTTTTATTTTTCTCAGCAGTCATGTAATTTAAATATTGTACAATGTATTACAACATTTTTCAGAATGAAATATCAGAACTCTTAGTTCATTAATTTCCAATTATATTCTTTTAAATTAAATTTAACTAGCAGCAAGATGGTATTTCGATGTAATTTAGCGAGAACGCGACAAATTTCCATCAAGATTTTTCAGAGTAAAATTTTGTATGTCAAATTTAGACATCTATAACAATTCTATATTTAGATAGATCAATAATATAGTCATTAATGACTATACGAGTTTTTAATCAATTCAATACATGCATTATCCAATCTGCTAGCTTCTAACGCTATAAATCGGGTTTCTATACCTGCGGTGGGCAGAACATAGATAACCCATGTTGTAGCTTTGTGCTTAACAACAAACAAACAAATAATTATTTTTTTAAAAAAAGCATTAATCTCACAAATAACCATTTACGCCCAAACGTGTTCATACCTTACATAATTTATTTTCAATTACCAATTCCTGTGTAAAAAATTGTTCTTTGTGCTAGAAATTATGTGTCTGTCTTTCACATTTTCAGTTTACAACTTCCAATGATTTTTCTGTTGCTTGGTCAAATTACTAGTTTGAAATTTTCACTCGGAAACCTTTTTTTCTCACATTAGATAAATATATTTAGAGTTTCTTCATCATTATGAACTTGTAAGACGTATACTCCAGCCATCTCGATCGTATATAGCGAATGTTTAGATATCACACAAACTGTGACAGGAACAATCATAAAAATGAAGTATTCAGCTTCACTGTGTGAGCTTGAAAAGAGTTCCTTATACCATAGTAAAATATAGTGAAAACATTCTTCTTGTCAGTCCACACACTAAAGTAAATTGTACTGTTCACTTTTTGACTACTGTCAAGGTGAATTATATTAGACAGAACAGGTGCATGCAACTCCACCCAATACTGAGGGTTACTAGCGCTTTATAAGAACCGTGTTCCAGGTCCCGTGCTTCTCTTGGAACTACTTCCTCATCATTGATCGTACACCCAAACTGATGGCCATGATTACGCACTCTAACGTGACGTAGCATTTTCCATCTAACAAACATCTGCGAAAGACGGCAAATTATCTTAGAATAAGTTAGTTAGGACAGTTATCTTGACAAACTTTACTGAGACCTTCTACTGTACATAGATATTGGCTTCCAAGACCTAATTTAAGCAGACCAAAGGCACAAAAGTCCATTGGAACTGCACTGGAGGACTTGGACTTCTTCAGCGATTTTTCTCAAGAAAACAAACGTTCATTTCGATGCGTGGCTGGAAGGAAGTTTATGAACCTTCGTCAGTTTCAAGTCCTTGTTTATTAACTTGTTAACGATACCAGGAAGGGTTCCTTTTAATATCTTCATTTTTTTGGGTGAGGATTTTGTTCCGGGTTCACTTGGGATGTTGTTGCGGAGCCTGTTATTGTTCTAGAAAGCCCTATGTGCGAGTTCCTTCCATAGAAGATAATGAAGGCCGTTTTTTTTTTAATGTTGTGCCCTTTGGCCCTACATCGTTTAACAGTCTCGCTACATGGATATATATCTCTTCAGAAATAGCAGTCACATGACTCTCTAGCCGTAAACTAATCTGACAGCATTGTACTGTTGATTGATCATGTGTTCACCAAGAACGAAATATAGATGTACGAAACAAGTCACTCGTGATGTCACGTCTTATATATGGATCGACGCGTCGCTGCAATATCTATATGCAAATTGTTCTTCCAAAGAGCAATTGGCCTTCTATGTAACATTTGTGTTATATTATATTCTCATATGAATCATTTAAAACGACCGACCCATATTTGGGCATCCGTGGGTACAGCAGTGAGGGTGACTTCCTAACTTAAGTGAGGATAGTAACGTACTAATATAGTTTATTTTTTTCATTTCGTGCCACGTGACTTTAAAGAGTCGAGTTTAGCTATTTTTGTCTTTAGAAACTTAGGCAGTTGGCGGGAATAAGAGAGAAATATAAGTTATAGGAAGTTAATGAGTTGTTAATTTGTAAAAGAGCACTTTATTTAGATCTTTAACACCTTTAGTGCCCTTCATTTTCTGCACTTCAGTATTTTCTGGATTGGTATATATTTATGTTTTGGTTTCTTTAATACAACAACTACGATAAATAAAAATTCTTATTTTTCAAACGAGTTGAAAGGAGCAATCAAACAGTATTCTTAAATTCATCTTCCAGTTAATGTGAATAAATGACAGTTATATTTTCGAAGTAGGTAGGACCTACACGGTAAGAGTTGCGTCTTGAATTATATATATATATGAAGTCATAAGTTGTAAGTGGGCGTCGGACTACAGAGAAAACAGCATACCGTAAAAAAGATGAAGAACAAGAGTAGAAGGCCATGTGTTAACTGGTGTCAAAATATTTTCCCAAATTAAATTCGTTTTTCAGGTTGTTTGGTTAAAATTGTACTTTAATTACTGATTCATAATCCTACAAATTAACTACTGGATCTCCAAGTCAAAGTTTGGAACTCAAACAAAGCCATCACAATATATTAATATATTTTTCGAATTGGTTTTATACTCTTTATTTAATTATGGGCAAGAAGTGTAGTTGCGTTAACCGTTCTTCAGGATTCTTTAAAAGGTATAGTATTTATCGCATGTGGATGTTTTTAAAGAAGCGTATGATTAATCAACTTTTAACAGATATAATTCCAATTATTTTCCTATGGCCATGGTATTTCTCTCTATACATGACTTCTCAGAGACACCTCAGCTGTGGAGGAATGAACAAATGTGGCTGCTACATGTTTATAAACGTTGATTCAACATAATAAAGAACACATCTGAGAGTAAAACTTGGAGATTGAAACAACCATCATATCACACACACTCTCTAAACATTTAAAAACAAAAAAATTGATTTTTACACTTTCAATTTCTGTTTCTTCCACTTAATTATATTAAGTAATACAAAAACTTTCATTTCAAAAATTAGATTTATTTATCCCCTTCTCTCTCAGTACGCACACACAAACGTAAATGTACATACTTTTATAAAACACATTATGTAATGATCACCATCTTGAAATTGCGTCTGTGTAATGTAGGTGGCAGTATAACTGGCTTTGTTTCCACAATCCTAAGATTCGGTCTATTGCTTTCGATAATTTATTGTATAGGAATGGTACAGCTAGCCTTCTGTTAACCCCAAAGATAATCTACGCTAGAAACATGTCAGAATGAGCTTACAATTCCATCAAGATTTAGTTTAACTATATATATACATGTATGTACTGATCTGCATAAACCGTTGGCGGTCAGTGAACTGATGTAGTGGTGACGTCACAAGGTGTGTCAGAGTTAGTCCTCCTTGCACCGTATACAGGTGAAGAGTTCATTCTGATGCATTAATCTGGATTAGTCTGATGAAGTTCTTACTAAGATTCGTGAGTGCGCCTAACTTAACTAGTTTCATTTAGTCACTGTTTTTTTACACGTTGTTGTCTATCGATACTGAATCTCATCTAGTTGCGTATTATAGTTTCCAAGGTTCTCGTTCTTTTATTATGTTAAAAACGAATTATAGAAAATATTTGTCAATAAACTTCCTGTTTGTTGAAAGACTCGACAAAAAGTGGGTGTGACCTTCACTGTTGTTTGATTTTGTCAGCCATCTGTAAAAACGCATAGCTCGAGGACAATAAAGTTATTTTAACAGTCATCTTGATCTTAGGTTGACAGCCTGTCACACGGTTGCCGAGAGGAAACTTTCTACATGTACGAAAGGTTCGGAATGAGATTTTACCACACTGAACTTTGACAGTAATTCTGAAATCTTTATCCCTTAAGTCATTTAAAGGAAACATTACACAGTTGCAACCAACTTGCTCCAATTAATTGAGATTTAAGTTTACTTCAGTTGGAGAATCCCCACCAGTTTATTTAGTTAAATTTTAACAACGAATTCCGTCACCGAACATGCCCGCTCTTTCAGTCATGGGGCGTTACAATGTGACGGTCAATCCAACCATTCGTTGGTAAAGAGTAACCTAAGAGCTGGTGGTGTTGACTAGCTGCCTTCTTTCTTGTCTGTCACCTATCGTTTGTTTGCTTGTTGTTAAGCGCAAAGCTACACAATGGGCTATCTCTGCTCTGTCCATCGCAAGCATCAAAATGCGATTTTTAGTATTATAAGCCCCCAGACTTACCCCTGAGCCACCGAGAGATCAAGTTAGACAACTGAATATGTACAGATTGAAAGAAACTTAAAGAAGCAAAAATTAAAAGGAGAAAGAATTATTAGAAGGTTTCGTGTTAGCACAAAAACTCTTAATTATAGTTCTGCATTTAACATTTTAGGTAACTCATCTTCGCTATGCCTGGAATGTATGCGAAAAACACATCTAATTTCGACAAACTTTTGCTAATAAACATGCGTATTCATTTAACACTGCTCAAAAGATTTTGATCTCACTGCTGTAAATATTCATGTAGTCAGGCTACTTGTCAACATAGAGATTTGTATATAGTATCCATATTCTACAATGCAATATTTCGTCAATTCATAGATGTTTTCTAATAACTCATAATGTACTTCTTTTTTTACCTTGATGTTTTCACGCAATCGTATGTTTATAATACAACCATCTTTCTTCGTTTTAGTTGATAACCAATCAAGAAAACCCAGAGTCACTATGGACCAATGGGAAGCCAGAATCCATTCCGCAACTTACCGCACTTGATGTTGTATGTGGAAAACAACACATGTCAGTTCATCTGGAATTCAGTGCGCCTTTCTATGGTCATGTGTTTTCTAAAGGTTATTATGAGCATAACAACTGTGTGTATGTGAAACCTCATTCCCGTTTAATATATGTAGACTTTAATATATACTATAACACTTGTGGAACTAAGCCTAACTTGAACGGAAAATTTTACGAAAACACCATCATCATTCAGTACGGAATGGATATCATAGAAGCATGGGATGAAGCCAAAACATTACGATGCCAATGGTATGACGCATACGAAAAGGATTCAAAAAAGAAGTTACTAAAAATTTCTGAATTGGATATTGTTGAATTGAACTTTCAAGGGGATAATGTTGACTGTTGGATGGAAATTCAGGAAGGAAAAGGTCCATGGTCCAATCAAGTTTCTGGTATTATACCAGTTGGTAATCCACTGACTATGGTTATTGCTATCAATGACTACGGGGGTCAATTTGATATGCGGGTTAAATCTTGCTACGCACATGATACCATCAAACCACTTGTTGCCTTAACAGATGAGTACGGGTGTGTCCTAAGACCTAAAATTTTAACGCCATTTCATAAAGTTCGTGATTATAATGGTCGCGCAACAGTAATTTCATATTCTCATTTCTATGCATTTAAGTTTCCCGATACATTAGCTGTATATATTGAGTGCTCAGTAGAAATATGTCGACATGGATGCCCTGACAGTTGTCATAAAATACCCCATCTTCCACTGTTTCTCACAAGCACACAGATAAACAACATGCTGCTAGCCTTCACAATGAGGAATATTTTACAACACAACAGAACCTGGATGACAGCTTTGTAAGATACCTTCTAAATTCATCTTATTTAGTACCCAGAGATTTCCAAACCTTACTCAAATATTCAAATCCTGAAACTTATCCTATTAACCATGTACCCTCAAAATCATATTTGGAGGAACAACTTTTACTCCAAAAGCTAAATAATGAAAGCAGCAATTTGCCCAGAAAACCGAGTCATGCACATCTCCATTTAGGACAAAAACTGAATTATGAAGAACAACAGAAATTCAAGCATCACGATAATGAAAATTACACTGTACAGCAGAAGCCAATAGCCAAGATACCCTATAAAACCCAAGACCAAAACCCTGAACAGTATCTTCCACACCAAAACCCAAAACGCGAGGAAAGCTATGGTGAAGAATATTCTGAACATCTGAGTAATCCAGACGTTGAAGGTAGCGATCATAGATCTATACAAAAAACAGTGCCATATTCTGGTCATCATTCTCCGTCTTTAACACAGCAGGATCGTCCAGGATACTATGGGAGAGAGAAAGAAATTCCCACCCAGCATGACTCTAGACCAAATCCACATTACATTCAACCCTTTAACGACAACGTTAGAGAAAGTTCACAAAACAAACCACATGCTCAATCTTCTATCTATAATCGTCAAAAAATTCCAGTGAGCCATCCACCTTATCCTCATACACTTCTCCAGTTTCAATATCCCAGACAACATGCTTATAATGGAATGATGATGGGTCAGATCGCTGATCAATCTGATGCTATTGATTCCACTGAACATTCTGGTCAAGGTCCTTTATTGACCAACACTCATGAACAGCAGTTTTCTCATGGGCCCCGTTCGCTTCGTACTAGACGTGAAGCAACAGATGGAGAAGTTATTGGAGTTGAGCAGACTTATCGTGCTCTGGCGTCGGTAGACTTAGTGTTTGATCCACATACAACTAGAGATAGCGTATTTTCAGGAAGACGCGAGGAGGTTGTCTATGGGGTGTGCTTACCACTGGTTGGCTTCGTAGCTGGATTAAGCGTACTTTTATTGTTAACAATCTGTTCGTTATGTATCACGGGTTACCTCGGGTATCGCTGGCGTCTCCATGTGTTGGAAAATAATACTAAAACAAGTATTAAATCGAAAATAGTCAAAGGAAGATTCTTTTATTATCATAGGGACCGTAAAGCCAAATTTTAAAACGTGACACAAAATTATACAGCGATAGAAAAAATAATTTCACCGTAATTTGATTGATATAAAAAGCTGTGAAATGCTAGAAGCTAAGTTTATTTATCTTATTGAATTGTTTGATAGAAATGCATATTAATGCTGTAGCGGTGTTGCCAAAATAACTAATCTCGACTCCAAGTGCTTCTTTAGACCAAAGGAAAAAAGAGAGAAATACAATATTACAAGTTTAGAAATAAGACTGGAACAGATTCGTTGCTTATATCGTGTCAAAATAAGAAAGAAAGAGTAAATAGTCGTAGCAGTATGTGTGCTCTTTGGGTTTTAAATCCTCAGGTAACTAATGGCAATACATAATGGTTCCACTATGTAAAACACTTGAATTTTGAACTTCTTTTATTACATAAAACTATTCACAAGACCATTTATTTTAGCCACTAACTTAGCTACGTTGGCAATAAAAACAACCACTTAAATTTCGTCTTGTGACACTATAGTGTAAGTTTAAGGTTTTATATCGCTAAAATTTGGAGTTCGATCCCAATGTGTGGTAAAACGAAAAACAACTTTCATATAAAGGCAGTATAATAATAATAAAAAAGAAATATAAATATTAACTTATTATTTGCTTTCATTTAAATGTTGAAGACAAAATATAAAACGAATTATTTTGTATAATTTAAAATACGGCTCTCACCTATGTGGAATCCAAACTCATTGGTTGCATAAGGATCTTCCACAGAAACAATGCAAATGTAATATTTTCGTTGAATTTTAACTCTCAACAATATTGTAGATTTTTTCCTCCTTTGGTTACAAATTACCTTTAGCTTATAAAATTATTTTTGTGATTATATATTTTTTTAAAAGTTATATTATTAGTTATATTAAATAAATAGGACACACTGCTACTGATTTAAACAACTGGTATACATTCTAATCACGTGTAAGGTTTATATACAACAATACATTATTGTACAGAACGATGTTCGTTTAAACGAACTTTTTTGGTGAATAAGAATTGTATATGTTAACTTATATTTCATTCCGTTAAATGTTAAAGTATTATAATAAATATTATTTGAAATATACACCTGACATTTATGTATATAAATATATACTGTGTAAATTCATGATGTTAGAAAAACACGTAGGTTCAAGAAGTATTGATATAAATGAATAAAAACCCTATAACCCGAGTGCTTTCGAAACGTGGACCTTTCTTCTTCAGGGGCAAACTGGGAATGTACATTTTTCGTGTAAGCTAAGTACTAACTTTAGTATTGTTTGAAAGTGCTGTAAATATATTATTTTTAAAAACAGAAAAGTTTGACGAAAGAAAGATGTGCTTGAAAAAAAAAATTTTTATGAAATCTTTTCATTTTCGTTTTGTCATTCCGAGTGATTTTTAAACAATAACTTTTTTCATACAAATATTAATAGGCTGCAGATTGTTTTCTCTCGATTTTCTTAATTAGTCCATGAAAAATTTCATATCAGAGGCATATATATAAACAGCATTTTAAGTCTATCTTTGGTCGGCCACATGTCGCTGCCCAGGAGGACTTTCGTAATATCAGAATTCGTCAGGTGGCCTGGATGTGTGGCAGACAAAATCAAAAACAACATTTTATGTTTTGTACAAAACATTTAATCGCTAGTTCTGATACTGAAAGTCTTTCTAAGGCAAGGACATATGGTAAACGAAACAAAAAGTTTAAAATTTGTTTTTACATGCCTATGATTTGAAATATGCAGAGACCTAATTAAAAAGAACAAGAAGAAAACACCTGTAATCCAGCGTGATTCTTATCACGATAATTAGGCCCATTAGTTTTTTGGCCTTATCAGCATTTGGATTTTAAGTGTGTTTTTTTTTCGTTTTTTTAATATAACTTGCAAACTTTAGTGCTGCAAATGACATATAGTTTGTTTATAATGTTACGTCTCCGTTTGTTAATTAACTTTCCGTAACTTCGTTCCGAC